TTGTTGCCTGGGTGGCAGATGATTATTTCTGTGTGAAACCGTAGCGCAATGAAATAGAATTTTGAGAAAAGATATGGAAACAAGAAAATTAAAATTCCATAAATGAGTAAGGACATAACATTATTTTCTTTGCTCTATCTCTAAAATCATTAATGAGAACTCACTGAGATTTGCTGAAAAACTTTTCAGGTAAACTGTACACAAGCTTGCAGTCCACTGCCGCAGCTAGAAGTCCAGTCAGGAGTGTCGGGAAGGGCTCGTGTCAGTTTCTTATGTTTGTTTTATAAAAAAAAAAAACAAACACTTTTTGGGTTGTATATGATGTCAATATTTTGGTTTTGTCATGTAAGCAACACTTGTGAATATTTTTAGGATATGTATATTCTACATGGTAGCAGGCTTGTGTGCCGCGCGCGTATATGACCTTTCTTTAAAAAAAAAAAAATGATCCTTATATAAATATTCCTAGGATGGGTTTGCTTAAAGTGTCATGTTATAATGTGTTATTAATAGCGGGATTGCCTAATTTTATTTTTATCATAATAGTGTAGTGGGATTGGGGTATTACAGTAGGTACATAAGACAATATATATTCAAAACCATAACGAACTGGTGTTTTGATTGTCCTTCTGGTCCACCCAGCTGCTAAAGATGGTTGTTGTGGTTGCTCATTTGATATCCCTTTGTCTAGAACAATATCTTCTGGAGTACTAAGCTACACTTCTACAGGATCACCCTTTTCCTCCTCCATCTGAATATCATTTTGCTTCTTAGCCCTTGGGTGAATCTTACTTTCTTTGACATGAAAATAAGCTAGACACTCAAAGACTTTAAGGAAACTATAATCAGTTGGCTTGCCATACTCATGAGCAGTTTTACACTCTATAGTTGTTGACAGTGATCAGTTCACGAGAAAGAACACTGTGTTGATAGCCTCAATCCAAAATTCTCTACCGAATCTGGCATTGGATATCATACACCATGATCTCTCTAATAGAGCCTAGTTCATTCACTTCGTGGCTCTATTTTGTTGTGGCATTCCCTTGACAGAGAAGTGCCTTGCAATACCTTCATCTTCACATAACTTCAAGAATGGTTGTCCTTAGCATTGTCGACTCTCAACTGCTTGATCTTTTTGTCGGTTTGCTTCTTGTCCATGATCTTCCACTTGAACATTTCAAAGACTTCATCCTTTGTCTTTAGAAAATATACTCATACTTTGCTGGAGAAGTCGTCCATAAAGATAACAAAATATCTAGATCTCCTTTTTGAGACTACTTTTGAGGGACCCCAAACATCTGAATGGATTTAGTCAAGAGTGCCTTTTGTGTGCCGGATATCTGTGTTAAACTTCATCTTGCACTGATTGCAAAAGACACAATACTCGCAAAAAATCCAGCTTGCTCGTCTTGACGCCACTAAGCATGCCTTGTTTACTTAATACTTCCAATCCCCTCTTATTCATAGGGCCCAACCGCATATGTCATGGATGAGTAGAGATCAAATCACTATCTCCTGATGTAGACACTGTTGCATCATCCATCATTGTATTGTCAGATAAAAAATATAAATTTCCTATCTTGCTTCCTTTCATCATGACCAGAGCACCTCGAACAACTTTCCTAACTCCATCTTGTGCTACAATCTTGCACCCATTGGAGTCTAGTGAACTAAATGAGATAAGGTTATTCTTTAATTCTGGACCATGTCTGACTTCTGTTAAAGTTCTCACAATTCTATCATGCATCTTGATTCTAAAAGTTCCTACCTCAACTGTTTTATAGAGCATATTGTTTCCCATCAAAACAGTGTCATCGTTAACTTCCTTATAGAAAGAAAATCAGTCCCTGTTGGGACACATATGGTATGAACAACCAGAATCAAAAATCCATTTTTCTAACGCATTTATCTTGTGAGGCGAGACAGAACAGTTTCGACATTATCCGATTTGTCTTTAGCAACACTAACTGAGTCAGACACCTTATCTTTGTTGTTCTGATCCTTAGCTTTATGCTTTGGACAATTCGCTTTCCAATGCCCCTTGTTATGACAATAGTGACATTGACAATTCATTCAATCTTTGACTTTGGATTTAGACCGAGATTTGTTATTTCCAAGATTTATGTTCTCCATCATTCCTCTGACAAATAGATCATTTGCGTGAGAGTCGGTTCCGAATTTTTTTTTCTGAACTCATTTGCAAGAAATGATGAAGTAACATCATCATACTCAATGGTATTCTTCCCGAAGAGCAATGTGGTGACAAGATGCTCATACGAATCAGGTAGCAAGGACAATAGTATCAAAGATTTGTCTTCATTTTTCAACTTAACATCCAAATTTAGTAGTTCAAAGACAACTCTACTAAACTCGTTAAGATGCTCATACATGTACATACCTTCCTTCATATGAAACGTGTATATAATTGTTTCTTAAGGTACAATTGGTTGGTAAGAGACTTTATCATGCAGAAACTTTCCAATTTCGACCGGATCATTACGACCGATTTCTCAAACATACGGTACATAATCTTTTTTGCCAGACACAACCGCATGGCACTAGATCCCTGGAGATCAAAATTATTTCATTCGTTGTCATCCACATCTTTAGGTTTACCCTCTAATGTGTTGTGTAGTCTCTTGTTGGATTAGGAGTCCAATGTTACTTGGATCGTGGATCGCTTTGGTACGTGATCCAAGTACGAGTATGCAATACGATATTTTCTTAGGTACACGATACGATGAGAGTTGACTTAGTTGGTAAGATATTTTAGATCACAATTCGTTTTGGGACTCTTATTGAGATTATTTTTACTACTATATAACATAGTTATTAAATCGTGTATCGGAAGGTATATCATTTTTAAAAAATAATGTATCATATCGTGTATCGTAAAATACGGTGTAATTTTAAATAAATAATAAAAAATTATATATACTTTTGAAAAAAAATTATACACTCATAAAAATATAGCATATCATTAATACTCCACCACCTATTCAAGTCATCAACATAGTTCACTAATATTATAATGCAAAGTTTACAACCATAGTTCACTAATTCAAACTTCAAACACCAAAGAGATTTTTAATCCAAATTTCTAACATCCATTTTAAACTCAATCCATAAAATTAATCAAGATTCAGAAATTTTTATACAAAAAAAAAAAAAGTAGTGTCTTATTTAGACAAAAAGACGTCGTTTCATCAGTGGCAGGGATAAAATTAATGTCTTATTTAGACAAAATGACGTCGTTTTAAGGAAAAAAAAAAAAGTTTTGCGCATATTGGCCGTATCGTATTGTAAAAACGTATCGTGTATCGGACGATACGACGCAAAAAGATACATAACTACAATCCGTATCGTTTTACCTCTATATTGTAACGTATCGTACGATACGTATCGCATATCATACGATACTAACAACTATGCTATATAACATTATAGATTAGAGAACATCTACAAAAACTAAGTCAGTTACTATTTATCTTATATTTGTGCTGAATTTTTTATTATCTAAAATAATATATAATTAAAAATTTATATGCACGTAGTTAATCAATACGTATTTTATATTTGTGCTATATATTCCAAAGTGAATCGATTTAGGGTTAGTATTAGAATTTTAGTCATACATTTTGGTGATCTAGATCATGAACCCACCCTATTTGAGATCAATGTACCTAGATCGTGGTTTATAAACGATTTAGTGAGTTTTGGCAACCATAAGACATCTTTAACTTGGACTTGTCAAAGTCCAAAATTATTTCTTCCGTCAAATTTCTCAACCTCGAACTTACCATTCGAGATCTTTGAAGTTTTCGCCACTATGACTTCAAAACTTGATCTAGTGAGCTCTTAGAAACTGGTGCAGATGATTATTATTCCTTAAATAGTATTATATAAACAGTACTCATAAATAGTACTAGTGAATTGTATCCAATTGATGATACACAAAATAGACTTATGTATGATCAACAGTTGAGTGTGTAATAAAGTGTAATTAATAGACAGTTAATAGAGCAATCAATGACAATAGTATAAATATCATATCAACACACAGATATATTGTTTTTAGGTCTGGATGACCTACTCCACTCCAAAAACGCAACGATGGCTGATGAACCTTTATTGATAAAGTAAGGTGAACGAGAGAGAATAATGGTTAGCTCCGAGAGGGATACAATAACTAGAAGAGAGAAAACTATGTGTATATAGAGAAGTGTAGAGAGATTTCAAGAGATATTCAGAGGTGCCCTCTCATGTAGAGAAAGCTTACAATTTATAGGAACAGAGCCTTGGTTAAGGCAGTAAGGTGAGGACAAAGTTACCAATTCTCCTGGGTCGCTACAAAAGAAAAGTGTCATATAAGGATGCCTCGATCTGCGAGAGTGAATATTCTGAAAATTGCTCCCTACGTGCTCAATTATTCTTGGACTCCTTGAATCTTGGACTAGGTCAAATTGGTGAATTGGGTTCGCTCCGCCTTGTAGCTGACTTGGGCTTACTTGATTTATTGGACCTGGCCTAGTAGGATCTGAGCTCGTCATTTGCCCCCCATGCCCCAAACCTCCGATTGCTTGCAAGAGAAGAGGTTAAGGGTATGAGTGTCTTCTTCACCTGGACGAGCAAAAGTTTTCTTGTTCCCCACGGTATTCTATTCATTTCCCTCAATGACGAAGCTTCTGATAATTCCATGGTTAGGCATCCACAGCTCTGGTTATCCTTCCCTATGGTGAGTCTCCGTTGACCTTGAACCTCTCTTTTTTTATTGCAATACTACCATCAAGTTGGAGAGCATTCCTCATCAAAACCCCTTTTTCCCCAATTTAAGGCATTTCCTCTTCTTAGGGTTTCAAGGGGCCATTATTTATAGAACCCACTTTACCCTTTCGTCATTGCCACTCTTTCTCTTCGGTTATTTGGAACCTCCATTGAAGATTGGGAGAAGTTTACTAAAAGGAATTTCATAAAGAGTGCTTTATTGGAGAAATATGTCAATGGAGAGATGTGGGGAGCCAAAAGGTGGATCAACATGCGAAGAAGATAACAATGGCGATAACGAAAGTGTCAAAGGAGTTGGGATTTTCGAAGGCCATGCAAAAAGGCCATCAGGCGACGCCAACAGGCTACTGGGAGATGCCAGTTAGCTGCTGCGTGACACCCGAAAAGAGGGGACGTGAACGGGAGGCGCCCATGGTGTGGCGCTCAATGTGCTGGAGGTAGCGACGCCGAAGCGCTGAGCAGCGCCATGGAAGGCGCCCATGGTGTGTGAGGCACCCAATGTGCTAAAGGCAGCGACACCGAAGCGTTGAGCAGCGCCATGGGAGGCCCCCAATGTGCTGGAGGCAGCGACGACGAAGCACTAAGCAGTGCTAAGCGGCTAGGTAGCGAAGCCAGATGCCAGGCGACGCAAAAGAGACTAGGCTTGGTGACACCTCAGCTGGGCCTTCCCTAGACGAGCTAGGCATTGGTTCTGGCGACGCCTGGGCTTGGGCTTTAGTGCCAACGTGGGAGAGAGAGGAGGTGGCGCCAGTGGAGGGATCGAGTCGAGTCATCATCCGAATCCAACAAATACTAGTATTCCCTTGACATTGACCTTGATTCTGTCTTGGTTTTGTTTGTTGGCAGGTATCCACTCTAACAAGGTCATCGTGGGGGAGGCTTCCCGAGACATCAAGCGAAGCAAGGGGACTGCCGGAGATAATGGCTCAAAGGTGACTTCCATATTCAGCTCCATTGACTTCAATGATTATATCGCTCGGATCGTATCTTCGTACTGTATCCCTCATGTTGTCATGTGTCACTGGGCGAAGGAGGATGAGCGAGCGTGTAGTGACTTCTAGGATGAGATTATTCGTTATGAGGATGCCTTAGAGGCGAGGTTGAGGTTCTCGATACCTGGGCCCATATGTTGGGTCCTCGGACATCTGTTACTGGCTCCCAGGAGCTTGGTTCCCAACGGGTGGAGGTTGATACTGTCATTCTTCTCACTATGGTGGTTGGTTCACAGTGCTAATGTCCCTCCCCCATTCGAGGAGTTTTTTAGCCACATATGTGCTTCTGGATAACCCCTTTCCTTATCAAGGGTGATGTCATTTCTACTCGAGGTTGAGCAAGTTTATCACTGGGCTTCCTTCGAACTGTCATAGCTGGAAGTCTAAGTTCTTCTTTGTTAGAGGCAAGTGGATCACCGAGGGAGATCATGACCTGGTGCCTTTGAGGTGGGACAGTGTCCCGAGGACCAAGTTAGGTAAGAAGTCCACTTTAGTTTTTACTTCTAGTCATGACACATTTGTTCTCACTGTATGATTGGCTTCTATGTAGTTTCATCCACATTATCTACGGAACAAGAGAGTAGGCTCCAGATAGTTCGTGACCATGTCAGGTCGTCCCAAGGTTTCTCATAGGCCAAAGAGGAAAGGTACTTGATCCATCCAGTAGACTCTTGATGGTTACAACATTATAAGCTTTTTGTCTCACACCAAGTTTATAGGTACTTCTATTGATAGGGCGATGGCGGAGGTTGTCTATGCTTCTAGGGTGGCATCTTCCCCTATTTCTTCCAAGAGGGCGAGGTCTAATGCCCGCGATGTTTCTCGACTGAGGTCTGCCGACCAGGATACTTCCTGAGAGGCGGGACTTGGTGATACCCCCACTTTTTCCCCTACTATGGTACCATCGCCCTGCAAAGTTCATCCTAGTATGGCCATTGAGATTGAGGCTCCAGTGCGGTCTCCTACGAGGATCGGGGCTCTGTTTTGCTATCCTGCTTCTAGCAATAGTTCGGTGTCCATGCTGTAGGACGTGAATCTGACCAAGGAGCGACTATGGGGGTTTGTGACTGCCACGGAGATCTAGGAGGTTGGTTCTCGAGGTCCAGAGGGCATTATCGACATAGGGAGGAAGGGATTCGCTTTGGTATGCCCTTTACGCATCTTGGATCTTATACTTGGCTTCCTTCTTTCATGTTCTGGCTTTTGGATACCTGTAGGTGGCTGCTGCCTTGCTTTGCTTGTTTTCGAGCACGCTGAAGCTTAGAGAGGTTCTTAGTGGTCAGGCAACGGAGAGACATGCACGAAGGGATCGAGAGGCAGGAGCAAGAGGCAGCTGAGGAGCAGTCGAGGCTAGCATACGAGACAGCTGCCACACTTTAGGCCAAGCTTCAGACGTCGCGCGGAGGGCTGCCCAACTAAAAGCTGACAAAGAGGCTGCTTGCATGAGAGCAGAGACAGAGCTATGAGCGTCCTGTGAGAGGGCCGCTGTAGCAAAGGTTGACTTTTGAGCAACTCTTGAGAGAGCTACCAGGGCAGAGGCTTACTCCATGAAGATGGAGAAAAAGAGAGATGTTGCTGAGAAGGCCGTGCAGGCGCCTTTATTGATGGCTACGAGGAGCTCAAGGGGAAGGTCTCAGCAACTTTTTCTGCTTATGACTTTTCTGACTTCGTCACCTATGAGGTTCCAGGGACTGATGACGAGGAGGCGAGTGATGATGGGAGTGGATCAGGGGGTAGTGAGTGACATTAGGAACATGGTGTCTTTGTATTTGTGTTTTTGTTGCTAGGTCATGTTCTATCTTTTGTAAATGCTTTATGAACTTCTATAAGATACAACTTTTTTGAAAAAGACTTGCGAAATTCTATTTTATAATCCGAAATAAATATCAAGGGAAATTGACCAAAACAACAATAGATAATCTAAATGATGACTACTGACTTATACACTGACTGCCTTGTCCCCAATTACTGATAATATTTCTTTAGGTGCTCTGCGTTCCGTGGATGGGCCAAAACTTTTCCCTCATAATTCTAAATTCTGTAGGCGCCCGGTCTTATGACTTCTGTGACCATGTAGGGTCCTTCCCAGTTAAGTCCTAACTTCCCTTCCCAGGAGTCTTTAGTAGACAAGATGACCTTTTTGAGGACTAGGTCCTTGGGCAAAAAGGAGCGATGTTTCACCCTCAAGTTGTAGTACTTGGTCATGCGATGCTTATACTCTACATTCCTGAGCATAACTATTTCCCTCTCCTCCTCTACCAAGTCGAGGTTGATATGAAGACCTTTTTCATTAGTGGTAGGGTCATGATGCTAGATGTATACCCCAATCTCAACGGGTATGACCGCCTCTGTCCCGTAGGCTAGGAAAGTAGGGGTCTCACCCGTGGGGCTCCTTGGTGTCGTCTAGTAAGTCCACAGCACACCTAGGAGTTCATCATCATCCTTTTTCACTCTCCATTCTGGTTTTCAAATTGCAAAGGGTGATCCTGACGGTGACCTCCGTCAATTCGTTCGCCTGTGGATGGGCAAGGTTGGAGTGGGACTGTTTGATCTATAAGTCGGTGTAGAAGTTGTTGAGGAATTTGTTGTCAAAGTGCTTGGCATTGTCACTCACAATGGCGTGAGGTACTCCAAAACGACAGACGATACTCCTCCGTATGAAGTCTTTCACCTTCTAGTCTGTTATCCTGGCTAAGGCCTCGACTTCTGCCCATTTAGTAAAATAGTCAATGGCTATCACTACGAACTTGCATTGGCCTCGACTCATGGGTAAGGGACCCAGGATGTCGATCCCCCACACGGAGAAGGGCAGGGACTCTGAATGGTGGTGAGCTCTTTAAGTGGCTGTCTGGGTACAGTTGGGAAACGTTGACACTTATCGCACTTCCTGATGAACTCTCGGGCGTCTCTGATCAGACTAGGCCAGTAATAGCCTTGCCTTACTGCTTTGTGGGCTAGTGTACGCCCTCCCGAGTGATTTCCACATATCCCCTCGTGGATTTTTCTCATGGCATAATTGGCTTCCTCGGGAGTAAAACAACGAAATAGTAGTAACTCTTTTTGTAGAATGTGTTGCGTAAGATGATATACCTGAATGTTCTTATCCTCAACTTTTTGGCTTCTACTTGGTTGTCCAGGAGAGCGCCTTCCTCTAGGTAGACTCAGATGGGTGTCATCTAGTTGGCTTCAGAGGATGTACAATTAACATCGTCCTCCTCTGTCTTGAAGGTGCTTGGCTCGAACTGGTGGCCAGTTAATGCCGGGCCCATGAGTATTTTAGCAGATGCAAATTTGGAGAGGGCGTCTGCCATGACGTTCTCCTCTTGGGGCACATAATAGATTTGAAAGTAGGTAAACCTTTTTAACAAAGCTTGGGCCACTGACAGGTATTCTTGCATCATTTTCTCCTTTGCTTCAAAGTCTTCCTTTACCTAGTTGACTATTAGCTGGGAGTCACTATAGACTGTCAAGCAAAGGGTCTCCATCTCCAACGCAAGCTTCAAGCCTGATATGAAAGCCTTTTATTTAGCTTAGTTGTTGGATGTTGCAAAGTGGAGGGAGACGGCGTACTTTAGTGGAGTGCCATGGGGGTTGATCAGCACTAGTCCCACGCCGTCGCTCTCCAACCTGGTACAATAAACGGTAACGAAGGTGCAGAGGGCTCGGGTGGGGTAGGTATAAGGGAGTCAGGCGCCTCTAGTCTCGAAATATGGTCTCTCGGGGCCGGTGGAGCGGTCTCTAAGACGTCGGGCCCTCTCGTGATAACGTCTAAGCTTGTCTCATGGTGGGTAGAGGCATTATATACTGAGCAGGTCAGCGCAGGGGAGCGTGATGCTCCCTCCAGGGACTCCTGTGGTATAGACTCCTAGGATTCTTGTAGCTATGTAGACTTGGCCATAAAGTCCGCACGTGCTTGTGCCTTGATGGCCACTCTCGGCTGTTATTGCATATCGAACTCACTTAACTTGACGGCCCACTTTAGTAGTCAGTTGGACACATTAGGTTTTTCCAAAATTCTCTTGAGTGGTTGGTCTATAACAACCACAATGGTACGGCTCTGTAAGTAGTGACATAGAGGCCTAATAGCAATGATAAGTGTAAGAGCCAACTTTTCTCGGTATGCCCTACTTATATAGTACACAAGCTTCTGGATTCCTCCATCCTTACTGATAAGGACAAAGCTCATGGCAGAGGACGAAGAAGAGAGGTAAAGGTATAAGGTTTCTCCCAGGACAGCATGGGAGAGCAAGGGTGCCGTGACGAGGTAGGCCTTTAGCTTCTAGAAGGCCTCCTCTGCATCTAGTTCCCACCGGAAAGACTTGCGGAGGATTTTAAAAAAAAACAGGCACTTATCTGCTAATTTTGAGACAAACCTGTTGAGGGCTACTATCCTCCCATTAAGGCGCTGGACCTCCTTTACTAAGGCTGAAGGCTTATCTCCAAGATGATTCTGATCTTGTCTAGGTTGGCTTCAATACCCTTTTTGTTGACCATGAAGCCTAAGAATTTTCTTAAACAAATGTCAAAGGTGCACTTTTCAAGATTCAATTTTATCCTATAGGCTCTCAATATATCAAAGGCCTCTTGAATGTGCATCACATGTTGTGCTGCAACCATACTCTTTACCAACATATCATCTACGTAGACCTCCATGGTCTTCTCGATCTAAGTCCCGAACATCATGTTCACGAGGCGCTGATATGTAGCTCTAGCGTTCTTGAGTCCAAAAGGCATCACCCTGCAATAGTAGGTGCCATTCGGGGTGATAAATGAAATTTTCTCCTAGTCTGGAGAAAACATGCTGATCTGATTATACCTAGCATCCAAAAAACTCAGGAACTTGTGTCTCGCGGTGGCGTCAATAAGGAGATCAATACGTGGGAGAGGATAGCTGTCATTGAGACAGACTTTGTTGAGCTCCATGAAGTCCACGCTGAGATGCCACTTCTCATTCGCCTTCGTAACCATCATTACTTTGGATAGCCAGTCTGGGTAGGCTACTTCCTTTACTAACCCATTTTTCAGTAGCTTCTCCACTTCCTTTTCCATAGCTTGGCCTCTCTCAGTACTTACATTCCTCAGCTTCTGGCGAACAGGTTTGTACCTGGGATCGACGTTGAGTTGGTGGGAGGCCACTTTGGGGTCGATGCCCTCCAAGTCTTCATCGGACTAGGTGAAGACATCTGTGTTCCTCCTAAGAAAGTCTATCAAGTTGAATGCTTGCTCTTGGGAAATGGAGGAGCCTACATAGACTCTCCTCTCTAGAAGGCTTTCATCCACTGTTACTCATCGAAATTCTTCTACTAGTTCCCCTATCTCCAAGGTACTGTCATTTCTCGGGTCAAGTACTTCGATTTGGAAAGTCTCGTGTGGCCTTCTGGCTCTTATAGAGGCCACATAGCATTCTCCATAGCATTCTCGAGCGGAGACTTGGTCTCCTCTGATCTCTCCAATCCCACTGGTGATTGGAAAATAGAGGAAAATGTGGTAGGTGAACGGTACTGCCCTTAAGGCGTTTAGGACAGGGCATCTGAGAATAATATTATAGGCAGAGAGGCAATCAAGTATAATAAAATTTACCATGATGGTTGAACTCCTCGGTGTTGTTCCTGCTGTGGCCGGCAGGACGATGAATCCTAAGGGATAAACCCTCTCCCCGAGAAGCCAACAAGGGGAGTCCTAACGGGTTACAATCTCTCTTTGCCTAGGTGGAGGCTATTAAAGGCCGATGCAAACAGAATATCGATTGAGCTGCCGTTGTCGACCAAAATTCTCTTAACCTGGTAGTTGACTACCATCAAGGTTAAGACTAGAGGATCATCACGAGGGACTTAGATCCCCTCGAGGTCCCTGTCCGAGAAAGTGATGACCTCTTCCTCCTCGTGTCAGGGTGCCTTTGTTGAGCGAGAGTCATGTGACTTACTTGTCTGGCTTTTTCGGGTGTGCGCTTTCCTGGCGGAGTTAGAGTCACCTCATCCTCCTAACCCTTCGGAGATAGTCTGGATTTCTCTGAAGGGTTGTTGGCACTCTCAATCCTCCTGATTCTGGCTGAGTGATAGAACCAGTCCTTGGCCAGCAACGTACTGCCTCAGCTGGCCACGCTGAATAAGTTCCTCGATCTGCCTCTTTATCTCGAAGTAGTCGTCAGATGTTCTCACTATTTAGAGTAAAACAAGAGTACAAGAACAATTGTTCTGATCCTCACAAGTAACACCAACAAAAGAGAATCACTCTGATATCTCACTGGTATCGCTCACAGATTTGATAACACTCATATTAATACCGAAATATCACTCAAAGAAGACCTCTTACTGCTTGAACACTTCAAGCTCTGATGCTTGAACTCACAAGCTTCCGATGCTTTGATAGGCAAATATGTGAGGGAATGGACAACACTTCAGATTTGTGAACAAATCTGATCCGAACTGCGCATGAATTAGCCATTCATGCGCAGCCCACTTCTCTTGACTTTAAGCCACTTTTCCTTTGAAATTTGAGGCCAGCTTTTGTTTTTTGTCCAAAACCAGTAAAGGCTGCAGGCCAAAGAAGTCAACAAAAAGTTCAATCTTAGCCTGTGTTTCAATCTAATATACGGGCTATAATGCTTTCCAGTGAAAACAGAAGACACCAAAGTGACCAAAACCCCTTAAAAGATCAAAATACTCACAAAAAAACTAACATGACTGTCTATCATGTAAGTTCAACAATCAAATTTCCCTAAATAAAACTTATATCAACGATATTGATAGCATATACGTAATCATCACTCAGGAACTCACCCTACATTGGTGGTGAATCAAAATAAATTTCATACTGCACCTCGTTTGAAGTATCAATAATATCATGTTCATTCCTACTTCCCCAAAACAAGTCATCAAAAAATAGGTGATGGTTTGCATGAAAAATTCATATGAAAAGGGAATGGACTATCCTCTTCATGGAAATAGAACCCTTCAAGATTAGAACAATCTTTCAAAATATATCGAATTTGCTACGAAGGTTGATAAACGATGGTGGCACTTATGTCTAAAAGTTAGGAGGTTCAAAACTGAGTTCTACAAAATTTCTTGCAGATAATTGGAGCTTTATCATGTTAAATAACAAATGTTAGGCACAAAAGCAATGCAGAAATCGTACTCCAAGATCCATTACGTGTCCAAGGCCTTTTGTTCTTCTTGGCATCTGTTATTTTGGCACAAATCTTTTTGGTTCTTAAAAAGAGACAGTTTGACAATACATTCCTGTTTCGAACCTAGTGTAGAGAAGCAACGGCCAGTAGCTATAAGGTACAATATTTCGTCTATTTCTTAATAGTAAACTAGATAGCATAAGCACAACTAACAGCACAAGTCTGATGAAAGTTTATTAAAACAGGCAACAAACTTGGTATCATGGAATATGGTAAAGCACAGTTGCTTCTTACTTTGATATGTTACCCTTGTCTACTGTATCCAGGGCTGGGGTGGGTACTTAAATTCTATGAACAGTTTCTTAGATGTGAGCTCTATTAGATACTTACAGTTCAAGTTGATTACTGTGACAGGTCCACTAAAAACTTCAGCTGAAACTAGTTCTCAGAAAATGATGACAAAAAAATTGAAGCCAAAACAAATATGCACAAAGCAATTCTTACCATAATTTGAGTATAAAATTTACCTTTCTTCTCGAAAGAGGAGGAAAGAAAATCGTTTCCATCTTTTCTTTCAGGAGAATGTGAGTCTGTAATATTCATCACAGCCCCATCAAAACCTTGAACTGTTTTTTCATCTTTTCCACCTTCTGCCACTCGTGAATGTGAATATTCTTCCACAATATGCTCGTTTGGGTTCAAAGATACTGAGGGATCCTCAATGATAATATCTGAGACGATAAAGTGAATTTCAGGAGCAAAACTCAGAATAAGGAAAACATATAATCAATTTGTGTAGCTTAAGTAGCAAGGCAAAATTTTCTGTCCGATTTAAAAAAGGCCGATAAAGAATCTAATTCAAAAAACATATCCACTAGAAAGATAATTAAATAATTGACTATTGCACCAAAAAAGCCTAAGTATAGCTGAATATAATCAGACACAACTACATGAAGTCACTAAAGAAACTATTGTGGCTGTAACAAAGTAGAATTAACACGAATTTAGAAGCAGAAGAGAAATTTGTTTCATATCTTTTGGTCGTAAGAAACGAAGACTAATAAAATCACCTTTAAGGTCCAAGGAGCGATGAATCAACTGGAAGCACCAATAAGGACAATAAGGTGCCATAAAGTACATGAATATAATATGGCTGATTGGAAAAACTGCTACACAGAGTTGACTTTGGATATTTTGAACATAAGGCTTTGATGTTCTTGGTGTATATTTTAAAAACAATTACAAGTACATAGAAAGAGTATGCTCAAACTCAAAATTTCCAAACTGTAACTAAACATAAGACTGAAAACAGAATCCTTGAATTGTGGTAAAGCTCATACCATAATAGATCGGAGGCAATGAGTAAAACAGGTAGAAGGTGATATATTATATACTAGCCATAAGATGTGTTGGTACGATGTAACATAAAATCCAAATGCCCAAAAAATCGATCCCACTATATCAAATTACAATTATTTTATAAAAAATGGTCAAAATTTTCTCAAAATACATGATTTCAAAAAAATGTCAACGTTTGTAAACTATCGTATATGAACAATATCTGAAATAAAAATTGTATTGACCCACAAATTAATCAAAAATTAAATGATTCAACTTGTAACTGAAATGAGTGATGTGATAGAAATAGACGGGAAAAATATATGGGGATAAAATTCAAAGTGTTAACTATCTTATAAGATAGATTAAAGAAATCACAAAATTATCTGGAAGTCTGAATGGCCAATATAGTGTGAAGGTGAAAAAAAAAGAGAAAATTCCTCTACCCCTGGTCCGAGGGATACAGGCTTTATCTCCTGAAAAAAAAAAACATATAAGAATAAAGTTATCCAACAAATAAAGCACTAAGAAATTGAGCAAGGATTCTTTGGAAAAAGTGAATACAAAGAAAATGGGGATTATGAAATGGGTTCAAAACTCCAATTGCCCATTTGAAATATATATTGTGAAAATTTTCATTTGTTTAAAGGAGCAACATATCATTGAGCGAAGAAAATTTTCTAACCAAAATATGCATCTTTTATGATGATGGTATGACCTTATGATGAGAGGAAGACGCGAATAATAACAAACAAATTTGCTATAAAATCAATTTCCTTACCCAATTACATTGTGGTTTGATTCTTAAGAAACCTTTTATGAGAAATGGCATATACTATCACAATAAATAGAGGTATAGATGCACAAGGGCCCAAGGACTAAGATCGATCTCAATAGATCACAACCCCACAGTTACCATAAATTAAACAATGGCAAAAGCCCAGGGAGAATGTTGCCATGAGGCTTCTAGGAAGGCCAAAACTTCTGCCTTTATGACAACCCATAATCAACAAGTTTTGAGAAAAGAAAACCGTGCTCTTAATGACCTCTCTTGGGACTGAGAACAATTTGACCTAGCTTCTCGGGATACCTACCATTGAAAATAAAATATGACCATCCACACAATTGGGGGTTTCCAAACAATCAAAGCCTAAATGGATAGTTGGATCAATGACCCATTAATCGCATACAAGCCTAAATATGTTGATCTTACTAATCATGTTGAATTAGATGAATCAAGAAACATTGGATTTTGTGATAAGTACTGGAGTTTCAAAATCAAAAGTGCAAAAAAGAACAATATATGCCATTATATAATGTGATGTTTAACTAACGTAGGGAGTCAGTAGGATAAGTTAGCACAAGATAGCCCCTAGTAAACTAAGAAAATGGCAAGTTGTTTTACTCAACTGGTAATAAATGCTTATAAACTAATTTACTAAAATGAAAAATTATACCATGAGAAAAAGTTTTTTACAGTTGCAAATTTAGATTAAACATGATTTTGTGGTGTATTAACTTCTCATAAGTTCTTAAAAATTTCATTGTTTAACTTCCTCTGCCATATAATCTTTGATATTTTGATAAATAATGGAGTACAATCCACTCGACAAGCTTTTTTCAAGTCCACACTCTATTTTTCTAGTTCGAAGTCTACTATTTGCAGAAAGCCTAGGAGTGAAGAGTTGTTGTCTTTATAATCTCCTTCTCCTCCTACTACTTACTCGATTCCTCAGCCTTTACCTCAGTTTGAGACTCCGCTATGTGAATTGGAAAAGGAGAAACAGGATGTGAAGATAAAAGAAACGTTGACATACTCGTGGAGAAAAAGAGGGTAAAACCATTGATCCCTCTCATGCTAATTTCCAATTGGACCCTTCAGATCCATGTAATGTTTCTCTTTCTGTTTCTCAGATCCAGGTAATTGGACTCTTCTATCCTTTCTATTTTAAATGATATTGACATTCCCATTTCAATTTGGAAGGGTGTTTGATCGTACAATTAACATCCGATTTCAAACTTTGTGTCTTATCAGTCATTCTCATCTTTCTATCATACTTTTATTTGTTCTATGTCTTTTATGACTATTCTAGAGATTAGAAAGACGACTTGGCAGATTCTAAGTGGAAGGTAACTATGCTAGAAGAGACAGAAACCAGGTGTAAATGGGTATTCACAGTAATGTATAAGGTAGGTGGATTAATGGACAGTTATAAAACTGGATTGGTGGCCAAGGGTTTCACTCGAACCTATGGCATCAAGCATAACCTTTGCACCAATGACTAAGATGAATTCCATTAGGGTGTTGCTCTCCTTGGCAGCAAATTTGGGATTGTCTCTTCAACAATTCAATGTAAATGTATATTGGTACTTCTTCGATTTTTCCATCACCAGCACAGAAGGTTCGTAAGTTGAAGAAGTTTTTTTATGACTTACAAAAATCTCCTAAAGCTTGGTTTGAGAGATTTAGTAGGTTTATGCTAAAGTATCTATATAAGCAAAGTCAAATTGATCACACCCTAGTCATCAGAAGTAAGCAAAGGGAGGTTATTGTGTTTATAGTCTATGTAGATGATATTGTTCTAACTGGTGAGGCTATTGAAGAAGTGTAAGTGTTGAAATTATCTTTGGCCAAGAAATTCCTGATGAAGGACTTAAATGACTTGAAAATTTTCCTTGGAATAAAAGTTGTAATATCAAAAAAATTGAATTTTTATTTATTAGTAGAAGCCAGCTTTAGACTTGCTCAAGGAGACGGAAATATTTTATTGCAACCTTGTGATACTTTTAATTGAGCCACATAATGGGCTTGGTGAGAATAATGACAATATAAAAGTTGACACAGGTAGTTAGTACCGATCTAATATTGCCTACATTGTAATCGTGGTGAATTAGTTGATGCACATTCTCCACGATTGTCCCACTTACTTCGATATCTGAATTCGACACCTAATAAAGGTCTTATGTTTTTTAGGCATAATCATGTGAGGCTAAAGTCTTACAAGGATGCAGATGGAGTTGGATCAATCACGGATAGACAATATATTTTTGGGCATTGTATCTTTGCTCAAGGCAACTTGGTAATTTTGGCGTAGTAAAAAGCAGTCGGTTGCCACAAGATTCAGTGTCGAGATTGAGTCATGGTACATAGGGTTTGTGAGTTTTTGGGGCTACAGATTGTGATGATGGAGCCTGGTGTTGATTCACGTAGCCCAATGAAACTTTATTCTTTGACAACAAATCAGCCATTAATATTGCACAATCAACTAAAATCGAGCCAAGCATATTGACGTTGACATACATTTTACAAAATAGAAGCTAAGGTTGGGTCATATTTGCACTCTTTTTGAAAAGAATGGGAAATACATGGTTCAAGGTCGCGGTATCGGCCCTTGATTCGGAGACCACTGAGACACATCGGTTGCGGCGTCGCGGCGCTGTATCGGCCGATATGCTCAAAACGCTATATAGAAGACTCAAAAAATTTAGTAAAAATTAGAAAAAATTGTAATAAATGTAAATATCATCATGCATGCATCATATCCCCAAAAGGCATTATTTAACACATTAATCATTACAAAAAAGAATAATAAGGGCGCTACCGAAAAATATTTGTCATCATCTATGTTCAATATTAATATAATTTAACTTATAATTTTTTAAAATTATAAAAATATATAAGTGTATATATATGGTTAATTTAATAGCTTTAAAAATGAAAATCTACTTATAAATAAATTCTTCATTTAATTATTTAATGTATATCTTACTAGAAATTATATGTATTTTTTTCATTATGTATATTTAATTATTAAATCTTCCGTTACATAAACAAAAGCAAACTTAATAAGTTAAGTTCTAATTATATTATATGGTAAATACTAAAAATTAGACCAAAATGGTTTGAATTGTGGGACTATTAGGAACCAAAAGAGAAAAAAAAAAAAAAAAAGGGGGAGGCAACTATATTTTTGGGTCTCATTCCTTATAAGGCCAAATCCTCACATATTCTGAGTAACGACGAACCGAGAACATACGCGAGAGAGGGACTTAGACTCATCGATGAACCAAGAACATACGAGAGAAAGAGAGACGATTGGGGTCTGGGAGTCGATCCTGGTCGCTAAAGGCACGCTGGGAGGGATCTGAGTCTCTGACTCATCTGTGATGTTAGGGATTCTGCGATGATGAAGAAGAAGAAGAAAGAGGGGGCTTTTGCGATGATGCTGGGGCTTTTTGTGTCTTTGATTTTAACATGTATGCCTTGTAATTATTTCAATTTTTCTTCTAACTTGTTATGATTTAGGACTCAAAACAATTTGGGTAAAATTATGCTACTTCTTCCCTTTTGCCTTTTTTTTTGGCACACTCTGTTTTTTTGGTGTGATCGAATGATTTACATCCAAATCGGTATGATTCGGATGGAAATCGGCCGAATCAATCGATGTGTGACCGAGTCCTTTGATTTCGGCCGAGACGCACGAGATATCGCCGATGTTTATTCATTTTGAGATTTCTTTGACTCGCGTACCGTTATCGTATCGGCAGTGGCCGAGGCGGATACGACTCGGCCGATACCTAGAACCATGGGGGAATAAGCTAACATCTTAACTAAAAAGGTGTCGATTAAGGTGTCTCATATCATTTTAAGCAAGTTGGGCATGTGTAATGTCTTTTCATCAGCTTGAGGGGAAGTGTTCGAATATCTAAAAAACTTAATGATGAGCATCAATGTAATTCGTCTAATATACATAACTATATAAACAGAGAGGAGTCTAGGATAGAATTAGTAGATTTTTTTTTTTTTTTTGGGGAAAGAACAATTAGCTGAAATTAATTCATTCCACTCTTTTCACAAAATTCCTCTCCTCCTATTCTTCTCTAATCTTCTGCACAAGCCCAAAAAAATATAACCTTCATATATCAACAAACATGAAATTCATTAACAATATCATAGGTCGAATTTCCAAGCTTTGTAAATATTACACTAGCAAGGATCCATGAAATGCCAACCAAATGTTTATTCCTTACACATAGCTGACCGAAAAATGCCAAACTCGTCGCCAAAGGAGTATCAAACATGTGTCCAAATTAAGATTTTATTTTTTGCTTATGTATATGTCCAAAAGAGTATTGTATATGTGTCCTAAGAATGGCCAAGAAATGCAGATGTCCAACGAAGACACGTCACCATTTGAGAAGAGTCAGTGTTTCTAAGATATTACTTTTAGTTGAAAATCTGACACTAACAAACAAACAACACACACTTTCACATGTGTACTTACATGCATGAATCAAACACTAACCTGAAGAAGGCAATATGAACTGATCTTGGGCTGAGAGTAAACTGCTGACAAGAGGGTTTTTCTCCCATGACCAAAGGAAAATCGTAGTCAAAATAAGGGCAACCAGAGTGATTGAATGCCTCCCCCAAGATCTACCAAAATTTCCTCCCTTCATCTAGGGCAAGGCACTCCAAAAGGAGATAGAATCCCTTCTTAGTCGGAATTTAGTAACATCTTTCGGCTATAATGGCGATGGAGACTTCAACATATACCAACTGGACAGATGTGCAGAAAAATTTGAATCATGCTTTTGGTTGCAATTGCAAAGAGCTCCCACTGTAGAAATTGAGAAAAATGCAAAAAAGAAAAAAAAAATCTAAAATTCTCTAAATAAAGTATATCCATAGCCAAAACAAATTTAATGAAGTTAAATTTAGGCCTGAAGACTTTCGGTAAGAAGAAAAACTTGGCTATAAAACTTCACGAATGATTATTATAAATATCTAAACTGACCAAATTTGGGACCAAATTCTGTCACCCTAATTATATAGCAAATCCAAGTGACGAAACTGGCCAGCATTTTTTGGTCAGACCAGCATTGTTGGTAAATTAACTAGTTAACGAAAGATATATTAAACTATTTTGGCTTGGGGCCTGGTGCAAAATATCACATGTGCCAGGTTCTCACTTACCCGATTACACCATGATTACCACAATGACGAAGCTCCTAGAAGAAACAAAGCAAATGAGATTGACGAACTCAAAATGCAATTTGAACCTCATCATGGGGAGGAGGGGGTGAAGTTAAAGGATTCAGTTCTCATCTCTAATAATCCCAAACAAAAATTGAAATGCCGAATAGGCATGAGATGCCACATTGTGAAATTCAGAAATTCACATAACCCATGTGAGATTCATAAAACAGTGCACAAACCCAATTGAATTATGAAACAATGGTGACTGTAATGCCACAAAAATATCTAGATTCACAATGTATATATGTGTGTGTGTGTGTGTGTGTGTAACTACAAAAAGATAGGCTACATTATAAGCTTCAGAGAAACAGAAACAAATAAACTATTGACGTAAATGAGAATCGAACAATTATCGAATGAATGACAACAAAAAAGAAAAAAGAAAAAATACCCGAGCTTCTTCAATGCAGGTGGATCTGCTGGACCTTTACTGTCCTTGTTGTTGCAATCGCAAAGAGAGAGAGAGAGAGAGAGAGAGATGAAAACTTCGGGGCGAGGAATGGGAAGGCGAATTATCTGGTGTTTATGTTGCAGTATGGAGCCTTTTTTTTTTTTTTTAAGGAGGAGTACAAGGGCTTCACGATAAGATTCTGTGGAGCTGACACAACTACCAACCAAGATTTGAAACGTCTTCTCAAATCGAGGAGTCGGTCGTCATAACGGAAAAGATAATGGATGCCGTTGTAATTTGGTAGTCATTTTACTTCATGTTGACGTGGCGAGTTGGAATTGAAAATATGCGGAGCCTCGAATGATTAAGGGCTTCTACTTTAAA